TCATAAAATGTTTTCGTACATCCTCTTTCTCGTACCCATCACCTGTTATGCTTGCTTAGCACATATAGATAACGTGAACAGTGGCTATAGTGTTTATTAGTGGCTATAAAATATCTTAGAGGCCTCAAGTCTTAGCTCAAACTTAAAATATGCAGAGGAGCCCTGCTATGGGCTTGTAAATACAGATAAGGGAGCCTTCCTGTTTTTAAGTCCCTTTCTGGTGTCTCCCTTCTTGGAATCTCCTTTATTTCTGAGTCTCCCATTCTTGAAGTCTCCCACCCTTGGAATAACTGGGAGTGTGAAATCCACAAACTGAAATGCAGCTCTAATCCTAACCATGAAACGCCTAACTTATATCCTACGAATCAAAGCTGTAACCCTCACCCAACCGAATCATAACCCTAATCCAGGCTTTCAGATTTGAAAAGTACAGGGGACTCTACTAATGACTCCCCTTAGGACACCATAAGGGGTCTTTTCCACGTCATATATCACACCCTACAAGAGACTATGGAGAGCTCCACTAAAAATCACACCCTCTAAGAGGCATGATGGAGAGCTCCAACTAAAATCACACCGCTTAAAAGGATTGATGCGAGAGGCTCCTGATGCTCCAATCAATGCTCGTGGGTGTCTGAGATACATGGAATCATGACCAACCCCAGTCTAAGAGGAAATCCAAAATGAAAATTAGGATTCAATTCATGTCATGTCTGTCAATCACTGATTATCATTCATCTTTCACCTTCATTATTCAATGGCTTCGTCAGTGATTACATTCTTTTCATCCACAAACCCAACACTAGCACACGAATTAATAAAAGAGTGATCGGATGTAAAAATAAACTTGTTCTTATTTTTCATGATCTTTCTCCTTAGAAGATCTCAGTCCATGTACCTGGCATATTCAGCTAGCGAAACTGGAATCATCATACACATCCATCAAAAACTAGGCCAAATTACTTTACGGTGGTTAGGCTAGCCACGTAATGTAGCCCCCTCCGCTCTACGACTGTTTCACTCAGAGAGGCCATTCTAAGAAAAACGGTGAAAAGAAAGGGGACGAAGGGGGAGGAGCAAGACGAAAACAACAACTGGAACATGATTAAGTACATTAATAATTACGATTTATGAATTATAGGCTCTAATGGTCCCTCAATGAGGATTTTGTTTTTGTTTAAATGTCAAGACATTAGTTTCGAGATGGCACGACACTGCAATTTGACGATTTCGTTAGTCAATCATAATTTTCTGAGCAGTTAAACCATTCGCCAATTGTATTCGTCGCTGAGTGTCATAAAATCGTCACTGTAAACATTGAAATAGGAGTTCACGTAGAAATGATGAAGTAGAAGAATCCAAACTTGTTGTAGTAAACCGAATAATCTTTAATAACTCATACAGCGTAGACACATCGCACAAAGAGACAAAGACCGCGCACCCTCCGTGTGCCTCCTGTCGCGACCAGAACCAGAATCCCCCCCTATTCTTACATCTCTCCTCTATATATTCCTCCTAAAACTCCTACAAACATCTTGCACGTTCTCATTCATGTACCCGTTCTCCCAAACCGCGTCTTACCCCCATTTCACAATGACCTTAGAAACTGCCTAACCTAAAACCCGCTTATCCAACTCCCTGTAACATCAATGTAGCCGCCCAATATGCGCGACGCTGCGTCTACACAGACTAGCTAGTCACCAAACAACCCTAGTCTAGCCTCGCTGACTACTTCATGCAACACGTGCAAAACACATGTTACATCACTGTTATTTATTCATCGCATTTTGCGAAAGTGGTGAACGCCAGCGGTAGCCCTGCCATAGTTTGATTAAAATTTTTCTCTGTGAGATGCAATAGCTTTTATTCCACTCTCCACACATCACTCACGCATACTGCTAAATCTGGTGATGTCACTACTGGTGGATTTGTAACTGTGACCTCATCTTCGTAGCATACCTTGTTACGTCTGGGGCAGTGACATGCAGTGTTGCAGTGCGTCAATGATGATATTTATTTTGACATCTTTTTCCCAGCAGGAGAGCGTTAGCGAGAGCTCGAAACGAGGCAGAACTGAGCACCTGCGATCTGTCTGATGGAGCCTTCTCATTCAGATATGCCACGCCCTGGAGGAGAGAAGTCCTACGTGTGTGATGTGTGTGGATACGCCAGCTCCAAGTTACGTTATCTCAAGAAACATATGCGCTCTCACACAGCAGAGAAGCCATATGCATGTGATAGATGTGAATATAAGTGTTCTACGTCTGATATGCTTAAGACACACATGTACACTCACACAGGTGGAAAGCCATATGCGTGCGATATATGTGAATACAGGTGTAGTAGCTCCAGTAATCTCAAGAAACACATGCGCACTCACACGGGAGAAAAGCCGTATGCATGTGAGAGATGTGAATATAAGTGTTCTACGTCTGATAGGCTTAAGACACACATGTACACTCACATGGGTGAAAAGCCATATGCGTGCGATAGTTGTGAATACAGGTGTAGGACCTCCACTCATCTCAAGACACACATCCGCAGTCACACGGGAGAGAAGCCGTATGCGTGTGATATATGTGAACACAGATATACTACCCTCGGTTATCTCAAGATACACATGCGCACTCACACGGGAGAAAACCGTTATTGCACTGGCGAGAGATGTGAATATAAGTTGTTCTAGTCCGCTTATGCGTAAGTTACACATGCGCAGTCACACGGCCGATGAAACCGCGTTTGCATGTGAGCAGATTGTGATATAAGTGGTAGCACTCCCAGTACTCTCGAAGAGACACATGCGCACTACACGGAGAGAAACCACGTATGGCGTGGCGATATATGTTGAACTCAGATATTACGTTCCTGCAAGTTATCTAAGGTACCATGCCGCACTCACACGGGAGAGAAACAATTTGCGATGTGAGCGAGATGTGAATATAGGTGTTCTACGTACCGGTATGGCTTAAATGCACACATGCGCACTGCACAACGGAGAGAAATCCATTTTCCTCGCGACACATGTGAGTACGGGTTGTACGACCTCACTCATCCTCAAGGCACACATGGCGCCTCACACGGGAGAAAGGCTGTATGTGTGCGATAGATGTGTGAAAGCAGACTATGCGGTCTCGGATATATCTCAAGGGTGACCAAATGCGCACTCACAAACGGGAGAGAAACCGTTTGCATGTGAGAGCATGTGAATATAAGTGTATCAGCAACTGCCGAGTGGATGTCAAGAGACGACATGCGCACTCACAGGAAGAGAAAACGCGTTGCATGCGATCAAGTGTGAAATACAGGTGTATCGAGCCGCGCGCAATCTCAAGAGCCACATTGCGCACTCACACTTGGCAGAAAAGCCATACGTTTTGTGCGATATACTGTGAAACACAGGTGTATGACCTCGCAGTGATCTACAAGGGTACACATGCGCCTCACACGGATAGAAACCCGCTTGCCTGTGAGAGATGTGAATATTAAGTGTTCTACGTCCGGGTATGCTTTAAATCACAATGCGCACTCACACGGGAGAGAAACCATTTCCTAGCGAACACATGTGAGTACAGTGTAGCACCCCACTGCATTCCAAGATACAGCATGCGCATCCACGTTACGGGAGCAAGCCATACGTGTGGATATATGTGAATCACAGATTAGGAACCCTCCGTCATCTCGGTACCATGCCGCACTCACACTTGAGAGAAAGCCGTTTGCATGCGATTATATTGGTGAACATAGTATGTACTACCCTCGTCATCTCAAGAATACACATGCGGCATCACGACGGGAGAGAAGCCATTTGTCGTGTTGACAAGTGTGATCAAGTTTACGTGCCTGCAGTCACTGAAAACACCCGCGCACGTCATTTCAAAACGATGCGCGGTGATAGACGCATCTTATGCAAGGGGCCCAAATACATTAACCAGGACTGCATTCAATCGTATATAGCGATGGACAGTATCAACGATCGTCTACAAACAATCCTTACTGTGTCGCCATGATATCGCGCTGCCAATCCTTCGTAGTTTGTTATAGTTCAGTGCTGCTGTCCTTCTGTCGTCTTAAACTTGTCATCCTTTTTTCTTTTGTCCTTGTTCGTGGCACCGTCGCCAGTTTTTGCGGGCCGACACCCTGCAGGAGAGCCGCAGATTCTGTGAAACCCACGCGAATCGAACCCCACACCAAGAGCAGCCGATACGGCCACTGCTACATAAGCCAGCCGCGCCCGCACCGGCATAGCAGGGAGCTAACGCCTGGCGACGCGCAGGAGCCTCGCAGGCCGTCGCCGCCCACGGGGCCGCGCCGCGAGCGCACCTCCCAGAGCAGCTACCCCGCCGCTATAGGCAGCTATACCCGCTCGCCGCCTTCGGAGGAGCCGTCGCAGGGCCGTGTACCGCCTGCCGCCTCCAAGAGCACCCCGCCGTCCATAGACAGCTATACCCGCGCGCACGGACGGAGCCGTCGGCAGCGGCCTTCCCGCCCGCGCGCTTCAAGAGAGCTACCGCCGCCCATAGCAGCTATACCCGCGCGCGGCCACGGAGGAAGCGTCGCAGGGCGCCGTCCACGCGTCTCTCTTCCTCTCTCTGTCCACCTCCTCTCTGCCCCTCGCTTCTTTCTCTTTCTCTCTCCCCCGTCTCTCTCTTCGTTTTCCTCTCTCTGCCCGCCCTCGTCTCTTGCCTTCTCGCTGTCCTCTTTCTCCTCTTCCGTCTTTCTTTCACTCTCTGCCCCTCTCTCTCCTGCTCTCTCTCCTCTCTCTCTCTCCATCTCATCTCATCCGTCTCTCGTCGCTCTCTCTCTCATCTCCTCTCTCTCTATCTCTCCTCTCTCTCGCTCGCTCTGTCTCTTCTCTGGCCAATCCTCTCTTTCTCTCTGGCCATCCTCTCTTTTCCTTCCTGCTTCTCTGTGTACCATCCGACTTATTTCCTCTCTGCCCCCTTCTCTCTGTCCTCTCTGTCTCTCTCTGTCCCCGCTCTCTCTCTTCTCTCTTCTCTCTGTAGAATTGTCTTCTTAGCTCGATGTAGTCGCCTAGACGCTACAATGGCAGTGTTGTACGCAGACATCAGTTCAATGAGACCACTGTATTATTATTATTCATTGTTAATTATTTTATTAATGTTATATAATTATTAATTAATATTTAATTAGTTTATTTGCTTTTGATATAGTCAAAAAAAAAAAAAAAAAAGAATTGGCGCGGTGTGTGCTTGTACGTGCGGCTTTTCTTGCCTGTCCAGTGGTTGAGGGCCAGTTTTTTCAAAACGTGGATGTTAATTTAGTGACTGCATATAATGGTAGCAAACTAGAAAGTAAGTAGTACTCCGTGTAAATTTGTATGAACACATCAACAGGATAAATTCCAGAGAGAGTATGATAGCAAGATTGTCGTGGCACAGCTTTGCTGTTGCGATCTAGCCGCTGCGCGCGGGATTAGACGCCCGCGAGATTCCCGCGGATATGCGCACCGCGACGCGCGGGATGTTCAAGTATGAAGCGCTGTCCGCAGTGGGAAGAGTCGTGTCGTACGTGCGCCAAATCTGTGATGGCCCGGCGCATCGTCTCCACAGCTGGTCAGCGGATGTCTGTCGTTTTAGAAGATGACAATGATTATATATTGACGATATTGTAGGAATTGAGATTATAAACCGTAAAAAAAAATTGGTCAGTCATTCTCCAGATTAGCTGAATCAAAAAGATTCGAATTTAATCATGAACAAAACAAATACAATGGTATAACATTCACAAAACAAAGAAAAAGATAGGAATTTAATAGGCAACCAAGTATTAAAAAAATGCACCAAATATTCATACCTATAGGCGGATTTAATAATGATATAGGAGGTTTAACGATATGATAAGAGTCCGAACTTAAAAATATAGGTCATGATGAGGGAAATATTATCGTGGGCAGAAGAGCAAAATTATGGAAATCATAACTATAGAAGCAAGAGTAAAATTATACGAATGCACAGTTTGATCTTCCTTCCTAAATAACAGTGAAAGGATGGACTAACTTAACTAAGGAAGAAGTAAGCAGCAGGCAGGCAGCAGGTCCGGTCATTCGCGCACCTAGCTATAGTAGCCCACGTACAATGACTGCAACAACAAACCTAGCGCAGTACCGTAATGGGGTTGCCATTACCGATGCCACTAGTACAGGAATGCCGTTTTCCGCTATTCATGAAATGTGTGAAGATGTGCTTAATTTGTGTTCCTAAGTGGGTTGAATAGATCAAAACAAAGTCGGCCCTATTCTTTCTTTTTGAGAAGATTAAATTATCAAACAACATCTGGCAATTCTCTATAGACTATGGGCCTATAGTCTTTGCGTGTCGGGAGTTTGTACAATGGTCAAACGAAATCGGCCGTCTTATGACTCTTCTGCATGCTGGGGCGGGATCTTAGGTTTTAACTAAGCGGGGGGGGGGGGTTTACCTGAGGGTGGTTCGGCCTATACACACCCAGCGTGCGCGAAGGCACGCCTTAATTGCTAGCGGGGGTCCGGGGCAACCCAAAGGGGGGGGTTAAACCCCCCCCCCCCCCGTAGATCCGCCACTGGCATGAATGGAAAGTTACTCAGGCGAATATCACACCTATAACAGGTGCATTTTGCTAGATAAAAATCGCAATCATCACTCTAGCCTAGGCTAGCAAATATAAATATGAGCCTCTTGGATGTCTTCCCACATTCACCATTTTGGAGGCCTCCTTGCTGGACGAATTATATACTATCTATAACCGAACTACTGTATCTATAACCGACTATATATACCGAAGACTATCTATAACTATATAGTGCTGTGCTGGACGCATATCTGCAGATCAAAGGTAGCTAGGCCACTTTCAATCGTTTCGTACTCTTAATTAAAAATGATTATTAGTCTCAGTACAGTATATAGAATAGATAGTCGACCATTGTATCATGTAATATGTATGCCATTTATATAGAATTTTGCAAGTTATATGCACGGCTGTCATGTAGAATTTAGCAAGTTATATGTACGGCTGCTAGCTGTGTGTACAATTTTGAAAGTTATATCAGGAGTAGATAATAGGGTTCCCTATTATATCTACTTCTGGTTATATATGTATGGCTGCTGTATATGTAGCCACAAGTTAACTTCTCGCTGTCCCTCCCTATAGCTCTCTGTCCCTCTCTTCACTCTTCGCCCCTATATCTCTTCCTCTTTCTCTCTCTCTCACTCTCTCTCTCTCTCTCTATGCTTCTCTCTTTCTCTCTCTCTGCCTTCTCTCTCTCTCATGTCTCCGCTCTCACTTCCTCTCTCTGTTTCCTCCCTCTTTCTCTCTGCCCCCTCTCTCTCTTCCTCTCGCTGTCCCTCTCTCTCTCCGCCCTCTCTTCTTCTTCTCTCTCTCTCTCTCTCCTCTCTCTCTCTCTCTCTCTCTCTCTCAGGGGNTGCACGTACACGTGCGTGTGCACGTACACGTGCGTGTGCACGTACACGTGCGTGCATTGTACACCCGATTTGATGAATTGTACAATCGGGCGATTTTATCGCCGGCCCCGGACACACTAGGCGATTAAATCAGGCGACAAAATCGTGCGACAAAATTGCCCGATAATACCAAAACGTTTTGATCTATGCGATGAAATCGGG